GTTACCAATTGTGTAAAATTTCGAGGAGAAAGAGGTAAAAAGCTTCCCAACATTTTAATATTATATATATCTTCAAGTGAAAGCAACATATATTTGAGTTATGTTACTGTTTCAATTTTCTCAACCCTTTGGTTTCTTCGAATATAAGTCTTATAGAAAAGACATTTCCTTCGAACTCTGCCAAGATTACTTGATACCCTGTTACCATTCCTACCCTGAGCTTGTTAGACTTAGATGAACAGATGTATATAGAATCCATGACATATCATGGATTCTACTGTAAATAATGCATTTAAAAATTATCCTTAAAACTCTGCCTTACTACCTGCCTAATGCTTTTTTATTTGTCAATAAAACTACACTATTAAAAGCAGAACATTTACTGGTATAGGACAAACTATTCCCCAAAATGTATTGAAGATATAATGCTTTGAACTTCACTTAATTAAGATTAATCTCTCCTTCTTAGAAGTTGACATTCACTTTCAATTTTGTAAAATATACAATTATAAACAATTATTTCACAAATCATAAAATGAAATGACTAATCTATCTATATGTAACAGCACTCAAGTGTCCTTGTTAGTATATCACATCTTTTAACAACATTTCTAGATGATCTAGAAAGACAAAATTCGGCACCAGTACTGTATTTTGCCATGTTTAAAGTGTACCCCACATTTGTGGACCAAATTTTCAGGGAAAAAAAAAATCTTTCATTTTAAATTTTTAATTCAATTTTTATTTACTTATATTTAGAAACAAAACTGATGAGTGTATTCCATTATTGTATTGTCCATATTTTGCATACAGATATCATTATTACTTTCTGGAGTTATACTTTCAATGCATAAGCATAAATCAAAGAATTAAAAACATTTAAATAGATATGGAATTAGTAATATCCATGTATAATGTACATCCTTATTTTTCCCTCAAAAATTACAGATTTTTTTGTAAAAAAAATACAAAAAGTACAGATTATACATGGCAAAAATACAGACTATAGCTTTTGTTTGTGATCAAAATGAAAAATCCTGACTTATCCAATTTTCGGTTTTATGGGGATTCCCTTTGTTATGCCAGTTCTATGTCATTTTAGCTCGAGAGAGAGGGTGAAAGAATAACAAATATAGTCAATTGTCATTTAATTGGTCTCAAAATACGAGAAAGTTGACTTTAATAATCAGATAACTACTCCTTTTGGTGTTTTCCAATTTTTTTCTTTAAGAAACATTGAGTAGTCAGTCATCTGACTGACTTTTAAAAGTAACTTATAGGATCCTTATGTGATTCTGGCACATAACTTGGAAAAAATTCAAGGAATTGAGAGACACCACTGTAACGTTCCCTGGCAGAGAAAGCTAATACAGCCACCGAATATGGGAACTCTGAGAGCAGTCACCTTAATATGAAAAATAAGTTAAAAGACCAATGGCACATTTTTACAAATTCTAACTAGCCAAGTATACCAAAACAATAAAATGCTTGTTTTCTTAAAAGAGGCAGGCTTGCCAACTGTTTTATGAGGAATGAAGAACCTCTACTACCTGAGAAGGCATATTCTCGATTGGAAAGTCTATCTCCTGTGAAATAAGCTATTAAGTAAAAACTTGGGACTCAACCTAGGTGTTCAGGGTAAAGGGTCATGGAGAGGCATCTTTAAAAAAATAATTGTCTAGATTTTCGGAGCTAAGGAGGGAATTCACATTTAGGTTGACTGGGATATTTGCTAATAACATATAGATGAATTATTCTAAGGATCTTCTTCTAGACTGTAATCAAGACCTTGGGAATAAGGACCAAATAAAGGAAGGCCTATTAATGACTAATGATAACCAAGACTAACTAATTTAAAGATGAGTGCCTAGGGTGAATTTGAGAAGATTAGAGCTGGCTTTTAGCTATATTTCAAAGGAGAGTTCTACAACCAAAGTTCCCAACACTGAAGATGAATTTGACGCTGTCAATGGGGTTAAAAAACAAGAGCAAACTGGGAAGCTTCCTGGGTTAGCTTAAGACAAATGTCATTCTTTCACATTTCTTATTTCCTTCTTCAGCACGTATAGAGCACTGTAACATGGCTTTTCACAAATCTTAATGCCACCCAGTCTAGGGTGGTAGTGTTTGCTTCGATCAGATGCATTGCTGAAACTCAAAACTCATCTCTCTGGTTCTGTACAACTCCTCTAGACAGAACGGAAATCTCTTATTTGGTTATGACATCACCATATGATCTTTTTACAATGATTACACTGTAAAGAATTTTTAGTTATTTCACTGTACCTTTTAACAAATTTGGTTCTCAAAAAACTTTATAAAGTAGGCAAGGCAGATAACCAAATGTATGATTTCATTTACATGAATTTCAAACCAGGCGTAAGTGATCTATTGTATTAGAAGCTGTAATGGTGGTTACACCTTTGACAAGAAGAAAAAAAGAGACTGGAGTAAGTATAAAGAGATCTTTTTCTTTTTTTAAATATATTTTATTGATTTGCCATTACAGTTGTCCCATTCCCACACCTCCATTCCCCTCCACCTTGCACACCCCTCCCCCCACATCCTCCCCATAAAGGGATCTTTTAGAGATGCTGATAATGCCTTGATTATATAGGTGTGTTCACTACCAAACTCATGAATCTGTATCCTTCTGTGCACATTCCTTAACATGTTATACTTCAATAAAATGTTCATTATTTAAAAAATGCCCCGGTCTTAATCGCCACATTATAGTTACCCATAAACAGTATTTAACAGACAACTGTAGCTATAAGTAGCAGTAAAAATACTGAATATATTTAAAAAAACCCAACAAAACCTACTGATTGTGAATGCAAAATTACTTGCTCTTTATTTCAATTACTTCCATTTGTCTCTTTTAGGTTTTAGATGGCTAAAACCTGAAGTGAGAAAGAAGGAAACAAAAACAGTCGGTCTATAGTTAAGGATATCCTGACTGTCACCCACATTCCTCACCTCTGTAACTTCTCAATTCTGACATTTTCTTATTTTCTACAATTCTCTACCTCCTCTAATCCTTCACGATCCTTCCCTAGGGAACAGGGTTATGAAACAAGAGCATACTGGGAAGCTTCCTGGGTCAGCTTAGGACAAATGCAATTCTTTCACATATCTTATTTTCTCTTCTTGTCCTCAAATTCCATATTTTTCCCTGCAATCTTTTTGTCACATCTCTCCCTGTTTTCTCACATCTCTCCCTCTAATATTTTCTCCATTTTTCTTCCTAAGTATAACCAGAGTTCATCTGAAACACACATAGTAGTAAAAAGTAATCAATAATTATCATAAAATTATGTTCTATATAAACAGAATTAAAATTATAGTGTTATAGGTACGGCTGTGCAGATGAAAATATAGCCAGCAGCCTTTTCCATGACAAATACAAAAGAACTCATGTTTTTGCATGGTTTCTCCACACTTCAAAACTAAGCACTGATTTTCAAATCTTTTTCTGGCCCCAAACACATGAGGAACATGACATTAGCACCTGTAACAGATCGTTAATCTTATGTGCTAATGTGGCTGAGCATGGTGTCCAGATATGGTAAAATATTGTTTGTTCCTATGAAGGTGTTTTTGGATGAGATTAACATTGAAGTCATTGAACTTCAAGTAAAGCTATAATGTGGTGGGCCTCATCCAATCAGCTAAAGGCCTTAATAGAACAAAGACTCCTATCCCCTAAGCAAGAAGGAATTCTGCCAGCAGACAGTCTCTGGACTCAAAATGCTACTCTTCCCTAGGTCTCTAGCCTACTGGCCTACCCTTACACATGTTAGACTTACTAAGCCTCCACAATCACATAAGCCAATTTCTTAAAATAACTCTCCCTCTCTCGCTTTACACTTATACTTACACACACACGCGCGCGCGCGCACACACACACCCTTTTTGTTTCTCTGGAGAACGATGACTAATGCCAAGTAGCTAAGGGAGTGATTCTCAACTAGAAATGGGGAGGGGGGTATACAGAAAGAGCAGAGGGGTTGGGGATAATTTTTAAAAGGCCCGATGTAGACCTTATGAATACCTACTCAAAAGCTGATTACTAGTCTTCCTCTCCTACAGAGGCTGGAATGCTAAAATAAAATTTTCAGCTGCCCTTACAGCTAAGGGGAAGCCATGACAGAATTGTGGCCAAATTCATGAGAAGAGCCTACTTCACAAATACAAAGCTAACGCCTCACTATGAGAAAGCACTGTTGTTCTACTCGTGCTTCCTGCCCAGACCACCAAGGAGGCAGATGTGACAACAGTGCCAGAGAGAGCTGATCTTCAGCTCTACGACTGCTCACACCACCCCCCAGTGCCCACGCGCAGTACCCTGAACAAGAGTGCAAGCAGAATCTGGTTTCTCAGGCCAACCCATGCCAAAAGCTGAAAAACTTAAGCCATGTCATGTTAAGTGTTACTTTTAAAAACAGAGTGGTACTCAGGCTCCACTGAAACTACCTAAAGTCAAAATCTGCAACTGGAAGGACTTGGACTAGAAAAGTTTTCTGAAAGTAATGATTACACAGTATTGACAATTATAACTATACATTACTAAGGAAGGCTGCAGAATATCCTTTACCAAAGGTCTTTGAAAAGAGGGCCTGAATTATTTTATGGCATTCCACTGTAAAGACAGGCGTTAAAAGAGAGTAGCACTTTGATATCATTTCCATTCTATAATTTACTATGGATTTACAATTTAAAGTGTACCTCAGTACACTTTCAGTAAATGCCACAAAAGAGAACTAAAGAGTGTTATATAAAATCACTGTGTAATAAAACCTAACAAATAATTGGGAAGGAATTTACTAGCCAAGTTGATGAAAAATGTAAATAAAATGCCCAAATTACCTAACAATTTAAGTCAACATCATCATTCTTTAAGGTTATCAATGATATACTTCTAAAAATATTATTTTCTCCAGACCTACTTAAGAAAAATCAAGTGCTAGTGAATAATGATGTCAAAATTCTGTATTTACCTTTTTTTTCTCCAGTGTAGGGCACGTAGTCTTCCCGGTCCTTATACTCCAGAGCCTCCTTCTCCAGATATGACAGCAGATGCTCTCTATCAAACGGCCCCGTGGCGGGCTTCGAGGTCTGGTTCTTCTGCCGGAACCCTGCGGGCAGAAGGGCATTCTGCCAAACAGAATGAATCAACCGTTATGACCACCAAGAATGTCAATGCTATATGCTTACATACATTACTCAAATAAGAAAGAATCACAGATTAGAATGTGATGGAGGCATTAAACATTTCACTACAGGATTTACGGCTGCAATGTGCAAGTGTTCCCAAGTTCTTTTTTTCTTTAATTAGGTAGTATTCACCTATATTATTATTGAAATAGGTACAAATACATTTCTTTAGATAATATTCTTCTACTAGCAGAACACCCTTTTACTTTTAAAATGTCCTCAGGCAGTAATAAAAGGTAGTTTTTTAATGCTTAATAATAGTAATAAAGGATGTTAAATGACTATACATATCACAGTCCTCCTTAACAATGACTTTAATTTCAGGGTGAAGACTTCCTTATGATAAAAACACGTATACCACATATCAGGGTACAGGAGATTAAACACAACACCACAAGTTCAACAACTCTATGTGTATGTATGTGCATGTATTATCACCACTAGGATGTATCTGCAGCATCTACTGCGCACAAGGCACCCGGAGATACTCACGGCCGAGAGTTAAGTCCCTGGGCTTCCCCATGGCTACAGTCTTTCCGAGTGCAGGCAGTGACTGAGCATGGAGGAGGGTGAGACGATGGATTCAAGCTGTCTCCTGTATTCTCTGCTCGGATTTTTCACCAACCCAGGAATAGTAAATGGTGACTAGACAATGTGAGCTCCACCCTTCTGTTTGTCAGAAGTCAAAGAGGTGACCCTGCCTTGTCTCACTATTCCTGGGGTATTCCTTTGCTTTGAAAATGGGAGGAAGCCAAAAGTCGCACCAAAGAGCCAACCCTGTTTTGCAACACCTCTCAGTATTGGCAATGGGGCTGCATCTTATGGCTTTTATGAAAGGTGATCTTATATGGATAATGATAATAACAAATATTCATTTTATAACTAGAAAATACAGCACTCTAACTGGCCATTTGCTGAGGTCCATCATAGTTTTCATACAATTCACCGCTCTGTTCTCATGTAATGGCGTGCATTACACAGAAAGCTCACCTACAAAGATGAAACACAAAGGAAGTCTGTCCCCAACCCCACACCAAGTTGTTTTTGTACCACAAAACTGTCTATGGGAACATACGAAAGGAAGACAAGATTTCTACTCTTAGACTTTGATATCCAGATGAGCTACATGGGAGGAATCAATTTCCAAACAACCATCAAGTGCTATCCATTTTTACTTCCTAAAAATCTCACTAGTCTGTTTAATTTTCTCCATTTCAAATACCAGTACTTTGGTCTAAACTACGATCCAAGCTAGGAAGGATTATCGCATTAGCCCTGGTTTCCCAGAATCAGTTCAGGATACTCTTCGCCTCTCCCTGCCACCCCACAAGGTTATCTTAACCTATCTCACACCCTCTCTGATCTAGCCACACTAGACCTTGTTTCCCCCCTTCATGGGCCATATACTTCCTTCTACCACAAGGTCTTCTCCAGAATGCCCTGTCCATCCTTACTTGCTACTCATTTTTCAGACTGTAGCTCCATTACCCCCAAAGGAAGATTTTCCTAACTTCCCATTATATGCTCTTATATCAATATGGCATGATTATTTGATTAATGACTAACTCCCTCCACTCCTACAGCCTGCATCCTGAGGACAAAGACCACATTTGTTTTGCTCACTCCTATCCCTAAGCCTCAGCAGTACTTAATATCTACAGGCCACATCTCTCCTACCCGGATATTTATTGAATAAACAGTTGAGAATACTTCTAAAGAAAATTGCTCATTAAGACAAATTAATAAAAGTTATTTCTTCTAGCCATCAAAAAGGCATTCATGTACATACAGCCATTTTATGGTGCTAGTGATAAAGAACAGCTTTATTCCACCCACCTGCTTAAGTCCATGTGAAACTTACGAGTTTTAATCAATATGCCAGCTAGAATCCTGGCTCCTTAAATACAATCTTAGACCACAAAATATATGATAGCTAACTGGTTTTCGATGCTTAAAACCCATAAAAAGCTGTATTAGAAGTATACTTTAAGTTAATGAATCATAATTCCTTTTTTAAAAAGATAAAACTATCATTAATATGACTGCTACTAAACATTACACAGCCTTCAAAAATGTAACAAGGCATCACACCTAACCTTATTCTTTCTGCTCTTATCTACCTTCTGAGACTTTGTAAGTTACAGTGGTGTTTCTCTGGCTGAAGTAACTGCTACCGCCTTTGCCCTCTTCTTTTCTTACCTGGTCCTCAATGGCACTCTTTCCAAACACTTCACCCAACAAGTGGCTGTCAGTAAACATCACTGTTCTAGTTTCAACTAACAGTATTTGAAGTTGGGGGAGTTGCAACTAGGGTTGGGGAATTTACAAAATATATGCAGAGATTAAAACTCAAGTCTTCCCATACAAAAAGCAGGCCACATATTTGCAAATAAGAAAATCTAAACAATCAGCTTTTAGATATACAGCACAGAACGTGAGTTAAAGGGGACTCGCTTAGTTTAACAGATAGATCACTAGACTCTGCTAGGGATCAATCAGGCAGTAAGGAACCCAGTCTCAGTTCTTTTGCTAATTGTAGTAACTGAGGCAAGTCCCTTGTTTTCCATCTGTAAACAGAGGGCAAGTTCTAGATCAATGTTTCTCCACCAGTGGTAGTTTCGTCCCCCAAGGGATAATTGGCAATGTCTGAAAATATTTTTGGTTGTCAAAACACAATGTTTTTTATTTTATAATGCTGTGACATCTTGGGGGTCTTGCTAACCCTGAAAAGCCTGCACTCTCCTGAGCTGGCTAATTCCTAAGAGTAGTATGCCTTTCGTGTGAAAACCAACCAATCCAGAGCCTGTACCCCCAGCACCTCCTCTACCTCCCATACCAAATACCAAATACCAAACCAGTATTTCCCTGCCCCAAATCACCCACGGCCAGGTACTGAACAACTAGAGACCACTCTTGTAGCCCAGAGCTCGCTGCATTTATTCAAACCACCTAGTCCTAAACTTGCTCAAACTCTACCTACCCGCCTGCCCCACCCACCACTACTTCTCCTATAAACCATAATAAAGGTTCACAGCCATGCTCATTCCTAGCTCCCGACCAACCTGGGTGCTGCCCCATGTGGCCCTGAACCACATGGTTCTTGTGGCTCGTGCTATTGGGAATTGTAAATAATAAACTCTGGTTTTTAAAACAAACAATACTTAAAGTATTTTATTTTGAAAAAATTGTTTTACTTTATAAAGCATTTCTTTTTTAAAAAATATTTTTTATTGTTATTCTATTGTAATAAACTCTTCTTGCAAGGCAGTGGTCTCCCTGTCTATCATCTTGCTACACACCTGATTAAAACAAAATCCCAGGTGCATTTTAAAACAGAGGGGGTATGTTATTGCTTGTAGAGGTGAGTAGAGGCCAGGGATGCTGCCAGACACCCTACAATGTACTGGGCAGCCCCCACAATAAGAATTATCCAGTCCAAATGCCAATAGTGCTAAGGTTGAGAAACCCTGGACTAGACGAACTGTTTTGTTTCTACCATTTGATCTAAATAGATCTAACAGGTTGAACTGCATGTAGAAGATAATGCTGACACATGATAAAAACAGCATTGTTACTCTAAGTATTCCCCCAGATTTACATGTACTGGAAACTTTTCTTTATAATAGCAAGTATGGTTAAGGAATTGGATCTGTGGTACTGTACTTACCCAAGTGCTGAAGTAATGCTGAGAATACAACTGTATTCTCAATAAATATTAAAAAACATCCCAGCAAGAAACAAAGGTGGTAGTAACAAGAACAATTTTATAAAACAAACTCTACTTCAATCCTAAAAGGCACTACAAACAATGTCTTGGCATAAAGAAACTCGGTAAAGAAAAGAAGCCTACTAACTATTACCTTCCGGTGACCGTAGCCAAAACGTTAGAGTTCTCTCCTCACTGCCTCACTTCTCCCCCAATGCATACCAAGGAATAACAATTCAAAGGTCAAGGGTCTCTACCTTAGCCTGTGTAATTTATAAGACAAACAACATCCACTTTGCAAATCAAAACATATGTATATTTAAGGCCTGCTCACATGGATTGTAGTAATCCTGAGAGTTCATGTAGATCTAGTCTACCAATGACTAGAAAATTACTGTTTGATCAGCATCTTTCAGAAAGGTACCAGTTAGATTCCAAGTCATAAAGAACCTTCCAGAGACACTGCACTGTAGCCATCTGGAATAGATAAACTCTGAAAAGGCACAGAAGTTGGAATACATCAAGGAACTAACCATGAGCTGCATTTTACCAAAAGCCTTCTTCCCTGCCCAGAGAGAAACTATTTCTTACAGTACAGAAAATTTCAGAAGTTTGAAAATAAGGGTGTTGCAGAAAGCAGTTTGGAACAGTCACGTCAAAGATGTGGAATTAGAAGTGAGGAACTAGGGAGGAGGCAAAAAGTTCATTTGAATAAAGAGGTGCTGATGAAAGGTCCCAGAAAAGCTACCTGATCAAAGGCAGCTACTTAGTTTAAAGGGTTTAAAAATTATTTTGTTTTTCTTCATTAGTAGCACTTACCTCAGGGTCAAGATCATCCAGAACAGTTTCCAGCTGTTTCAGTTCTGTTTCTGAAAGGTTCTCAAGGAGCTCATCTTCATCCAGGTCCTTGTACTTTTCTAAGTCCTTCCGGAATGGTAACGCCATTGTTTCCAGTGTCACTTAGCTATTACTATTCAATAAAGTTAGAAGTGATTTCTCCTTTTTCTTAAATCTATGGAGAGAAGAAACAAAGACGTTTAAATACCATCTCTACCCACTTAGATCTATTATTAGTTTAAGTGAAGTTTAATTTCCACAGGTCATATATTCTTTGACCATGTATCATACACCACCCTTTTCTATAAATCATTCATTGCCTTTAACTTTTGTCTTTCGTTAACAACAAAAATAGACTGGAAAGAAAGAGGGAGGGGGAGAATAAAATTAAAACCCATAAAAATGTCTACTTGATAGAATTTAGATTTTCCGATAACTGAGTTTTGGGGGAAAGAAGTTATAATTCATGCTAAAATACATTTTTTCCCATCAATAGCTTTCAAATGAATGCTACCAAAATACTTTGCTTAAGCACAATATGTTTAAGGTACAACTAGCTGTTTTACAAGAAGAACATTATTTCTGACTCATTATTAATATAGCGGGGATACTAATGCACTCACCATGAGACAAGCAGCATCTTGCCATTGGGGAAAAAACATTTCTTTAAATGTGCATTTTAAAAAATTTAAAGAAAATTTTATTTTAAAATTATTTATTTATGTTTAGAGAGAGGGGAAGGGAGGGAGAGAGAGGAGAGAGACATCAATGTGGAGAAATATACTGACTGGTTGCCTCTTGCACCCCCCCCCCCCCACTGGGGACCTGGCCTGCAACCCAGGCATGCACCCTCACTGGGAATCCAACCAGTGACCTTTTGGTTCACAGGCCAGCAAAGCCACAAAGCCACACCAGCTGGGGCCTATAGGAACTTTTAAAGGAAACAACACAGTATTCTGGAATTGTTTCTGTAAAATATGCAAAACCATCAAAGCCATGCTGAGCTACTCATCCACTAATTAGCAAGGGTGGTCAGAAGACTCTGATTACAGAAAAGGACCTTCACCGTTTCCCCACTAGGAGGGCCCAGGCCACTCCCAGAGAGCCGTGAGGTGACTCAGTAAGCACCGCCCTTCAGTCACCACAGGACTGCTCTACAGGGTCCTGCTCTACAGAGTACCTTTAGGAAAGGGTACCTAAAATCCGTCCCACAAAAAGTGTGACGCCAAAGTAAAGTACTTCTATAAGCTTACTAAGTTTGGTAAACCTCCACAAAGTGGAGGTTTAAAAGTAGTCTTGGAGAGGACTTCAAGTGGCAATGTAGACAGACATGGCTCACCTCCTTGCACAACCACAACAAAATTACAACAAAAATATAGAAAACATATCACTCAGAAATGTCAGAAATGGAGTTGAATGGAAGTCTGACCACTATGAAACTAATGAAACCACATCCATCCAGACTGGTAGGAGGGGCAGACACAAAACAGTCTGGTCCCTCACTCACACATGGTGGATAAAAATTTGGGAGGGATATCTTGGGAATGAGGACTCCCAGCCCCACACCAAGCCCCCTAGCCTAGAGTTCCAGTGCCAGGAAGATAAGTCCCCACAACTTCTGGTTGCAAAAACCAGCAGGGACTGAGTTGGTGGAAGAAACTTCTGGAGTCCCAAGCAGTTCCTCTTAAAGAACCCACACGCAGACTCACTCACTCAGACTCACTCCCTCTGGCTCTAGCACTAGGGTAAGCAGCTTGAAAGGCACCAGTGACATACACGGAGGAACTGAAGTATCTGGCACCAAGGTGAGAGCCAGGGGACAGCTTTCTTGCAAACAGAAAGGAGGGAAGCAGCTCTTGTCCCTTTTCTGAGCCCTAGCTCCAGAGAGCCACAGACCTGGCAGGCGGGTACCATAACCTGAGACTCCATCAACCTGGCTAACCTGTTGGCCCCATCCTGGAGATCCCACCCACCTCATGGGATCAGGCAAACTGTTAACTAACTTTTCCATACCAATGGCTGGTCTTGGCTCATGCTTCATAACTTCCTAAATCTTCTCAAAAAGAAAGAGCCGGCTTCAGAGAGTCGCCACACTTCTTGCTAAGTGGACCCAGGCACAGCACTAGCAGCAGCCAGCCTATATTAACAACTTGGCTTCTCCTGAAAATCTCCAAGCCAAGACAGGGAGCAGCCATCTCAGATTCCTTTATAGCTCAGGAAGGGTGATCATGGGCAAAATACAGGTGGGGGCTGACCTTGTCCTGCACTACCTAGAAACCTCCAGAGCCTGCACATCCAGTGGACAACTACAGAGCACGTCAGAGCACCACCATCCTCCTGCCCTTGCACAGCTGACCCTCCACAGCAGGCAGAGGTTGGTGGTAAGTTGTCACAGTCAATCAGTGCAACTGACTGGCTTGGGTAAATCCCTCTCATTGATCTGCCATCAGCAGCAATCAAGGCTTAACTACAAGGGGAGGGTGTACTCAGCCCACACAAAGGGCACATCTCAAGTACTCAGCTTGGGTGAGAGGGGAGGTTGTGCTACTGGACCCTACAGGACACCTACTACAATAGGCCACACTACCAAGACAGGGAGTCATAGCAGCTCTACCTAATACACAGAAACCAACACAGTGAGGCTGCCAAAATTAAGAGTCAAAGAAACATGGCCCAAATGAAAGAACTGATCAAAACGGCAGAAAAAGAGTTAAATGAAATAGAGATAAGTAAGCTATCAAATGCAGAACTCAAAACACTGGTTATGAGGATTTTTAAGGAACTTAGTGAGGATCTCAACAGCATAAAAAGGACCAATCAGAAACAAAAGATTAACTACTTAAAGAAAAATTTACAGGGAAACAACAGTAGAATGGATGAAGCTAAGAATCAAATCAATGATTTGCAGTATAAAGAAAGCAGAAAACAACCCATCAGAACAAGAAGAAAAAATAATCCAAAATAATGAGGACAGGGTAAGCAGCCTTTGGGACAACTTCAAGGGTTTCAACATTCACATCACAGGGGTGCCAGAAGGAGGAGAGAAAGAGCAAAAATTTAGAAATCTATTTGAAAAAATAATGAAAGAAAAATCCCCTGATTTGGTGAAGGAGATAGACATGCAAGTCCAGGAAACAGAGAGTCCCAACAAGATGGTTGCAAAGAGGTCCACTCCAAGATACATCGTAGTTAAAACGCCAAAGATTAAAGATAAAAAGAGAATCTTACAAGCATCAAGAAAAGTTAGTTACCTACAGGGGAGCTCCTATAAGACTGTCAGCTGATTTTGCAACAGAATCGTTGCAGGCTAGAAGGGACTGGTGAGAAATATTCAAAGTCATGAAAAGCAGGGACCTACATCTAAGATTGCTCTACCCAGCAAAGCCATCATTTAGAATTGAAGGGCAGATAAAGAGCTTCCCAGACAAGAAAAAACAAAAGGAGTTCACCATCACCAAACCATTATTATATGAAATGCTAAAGGGACTTACTTAAGAAAAAGAAGATCAAAAGTATGAACAATAAAATGGTAATAAATAGTCCTGGCTGGCGTGGCTCTGTGGATTGAGCACTGGCCTGTGAACCAGAAAAAGGTCTGTGTACACACATACAAAATACACAAAGTAAGCATTTTATATATATTAAATGTATTTTGAAATTTATACATATATGCATGCCAGCCAGGGTCTATAGGTGAGAAACCTGACATTCCTTGGAGAGAATAAAATAGTTTACCCTAATAGATCATTCTTTAACCCAAAGTAAAATCTGTCACACAGAGCACCTTTATGCACTATTGCTTAAAAAATAAAATGAATGCCTATGCATGTAACTGACTGCCCTTCTTCAGAAAGGGAACATTGTTAGTGCCCTCACATTCCCTTTGCCAGGAGCATTTCCATACCCTAAACTAGCAGCCATTGTACTGAATTTTGAATTACTTACTCTCTGGCTTTCCCCTACAGTTTTGCCTTAAGTGTACATATCCTTAATAGTTTTAGTTTTACCCTTTTCTTTTTTTGTACTTTCTACACATGGGCTCATATAGTATGTATCCTTCTGGGACTTGCTTTTTTTACTTATTTTGAGTTGATGCCTGAAGGTATACTTCTTTCATTTTCATTTCTATATAGTATTCAGTTAGTATAGTACTCATAGTATACATGAATATTTGAGGTTTTTGTAGTTTTCCTTCCCTCTATTTTTCTGCTATAAAAAATTCTTATTATTTATTTTCTGATATACACATGCAACAGTTTCTCAAAGTTACTCAAAGGGTATAATTGTACTCTACTTTACTACTAGGTAATAGCAAACTATTTTCAAAGTGGTTATACCTACTTACAGTCTTAGAAGACTCAGTACCTGACAATTCAGGTTGTTCATCCTTTGTAATCGATGGTATTAACAGGTTTTTTTTTCCTCTTTTGGCCTTTCTGGTGAATGTGAAGTTTTATTTCACTGTTGTTTTAATTTGCATTTTGCTGAATTACAAGGCTGAGCATCTTTTCATCTGTTCCTTCATTGGCTAATGGTGTTCCTTACTCTGTGAAGAATCTGTTGCCCATTTTTTTATTATTGTTTACCTTTTTTAAAAAAACAGATGCTCTTTTATATTCTGGATACTAATCTTCATCAGTTATATATTTAAAAAACCTTTTTCATTTTCTTTCAACTCTTACTTAGCTTTTTATGAAAATGTTTTTAAGTGTTTTTTATTTAGTTTTTAAGGAATTGGCTTGTTTTTTTTCTTCACGAAGAAGTAGAATGCCATTTCAGTTTCATATAATGAAATTTTGCCAAGGGGCAAGAAATTCCAGATAATACACTAGAGTTTCCCAGAAGCTTCAATCCAAAGCAAACGACTGGTGCTCATCCCATCTAAAGTCAATGCAAACTTAACGGTAGCATGCTCGCATCAGGTCTCACACTCTCAGATTCTCTAACTTGATTGCAGCTTCCCTCTCCACTCTCCTCCTCTACTGAGTGATGTCTATCTATGTACTGAAAACGTTCCTAGCAGGAGCAGCTCAGAAACTCCTCAGGAAGGGAAACTCTGGAAACAGTGCTTTGCTTTGCTTTCTGTCCTAGGGAGAACCTGTCCTTGCTTACTTGTGCTCTGCCATCTGTCTACTGGAAGGGGAACAAATTCTGAACGATGAAGAAGTGAATCCT